TTTATTTTTTCCCTTTTTTAGCAATGTTTTCATAACAATGGATTCATTTCTATGAATAATCTGAAAGTGGACATCTCTTTCTTAGTATAATTATATACTCATAAATTTAATCTGCTCAAATCATTATAATTTTTAAAATTATTGAAGTTCCAATGGTATCAATTTGGTTAGTGGAAGACTCACAAATTTGGCTCTTGAATAGTCTTCAAATTACTTCATTAGCCTTTGATAGCTTACTTGATGACTAATACAATAATATTTGCAAAGCTCAGTTTCTATATTTCCTATCTGAGACCTGGAATCAGTGACGTTTCTACTAAACCTAGTTTGCTCGTAGTTAGAAGTACAGTTTTGAGATCACAATCTAGCTCTAATTGCCACTGCATTAGTCATTGTTGCTAAGTCTTTATAGTGAGAGAAGTAGGACATGTTTAGAGATAGGAAATATCTAAACCTCTGCTCTATCTGCCATACAAGACTAGAAAGAATGATCAATCCAGTAGGAACTTACTAAATATATTGATACACACATTCAAACTTCAAGACTGAACAGCTTTTAATTAAACTATTCCTTAGTGCATACTCCTGTCCCTTACCCCATACTAAAAGTTCTACTTCTAAAGGACACGAGTAATGATTAATGAGAATAGCCACTAATTAGTCATGTTTTTATTATTTTTAGAATACTAATAGTATGACCACCATGATTACTAAAATTAAATAAGCTGAACCTTAAGCTTTATGAATCCTGCCTCTTATTCTAAATAACAAGCAAACTAGTTTAATATAATCACAGAAATTTATCATAGTCAAACTCCATACAAAGTTATAAGAAAAGAATAAGGAATATAATTTTATAAATATACACACATACACACAAAATAAGGCTGAAACCCAGACTTTAATTTCTCCTAATGACAAGGAAAAGAAGACAATGATTCCAACAATTAACTGACTACGCTCAAATTGTAAACCAATGATATGAGTCTGGAAAATAAATTAGAGTTCTAACAACTGCTAAAGGACTGTTAAAACTAATAGTATTTATTAAAAAACCTAATTATCTATTATGAAATCCAAGAAAATTAATGGAAACACTATGAGTGAGTTTCTGAATAATAACAGTAATACAGAATTCAGTAAGGTTATAATGTTAATGTGCAAAAATTATATAGCTACACATAAAAGATGACCATGATCATATGGATTAACTGTTATAATACATCTCTTCCCGTTATAAACAGGTGGAAAACAGGAAAAGTACCTAATACAATTGTTTTCAGACACTGCAAATGGGTAGTATGGAACTGTGATCTCGAAGATAGGGGAGACAGATAAAGTGAGCCGTGCGGCTTCCATAGCTTTCAGTAAAGACTGAAGTGCAGGGAAGGAGCACAAATCTGGTTCAGAAACTGAGTTTACAGTGGTACTCCTCGATAGAACAAAAAGTACTATACTAAGTTGAAGAAATAGTTTCTGAGTTCAATGACACTGAGAGGGCTTAACTCTACAAGAAAAAGTACCAGAAAAAGTATAAAAACATTATACAAGAGTACCTTAAGATCGGGCTGAATACCAAGCAGTCCAGATGCAGGATAAAATGACATGAGTGCTGGTAAAGGATATTGACCAGGGCATGTAAATTAACGTACAGAGCTCACACAGAGTTGAGGGATTTGCACATTCTTATCATCCAGACTAGAGAAGCCCCATTCAACATTGTATAAGTTCATTACAGACTTAAGAATCATCATATGTAAGTAATTAAGGCTACTTTAGACTCACTCTAATAACATTTAAATATATGTCTTTAAAGACAAAGCTGATACACAAATGATTACTTGCCAAGACCAACTTTATCATCATTAAACGAAGACTTCAAAAGCCTGATGTTTAACATCATAAAATTCGAACTACTTGGCATTCAAGAAAAAATGACTAGACATCTGAAGAATCAGGAAAATACGCCATCATCACTGGAAAAGTCAGTCACTAAGAACTAACCCTGAATCACAGATATGTATTTTTAGAAAAATAATTCAAAATGAGTGTTATAAATATGTTCAGGTACTTTAATAGAAAACAAAAGAGCACACAATGAGGGAAGAAATGCAAACTATCTAAAAAATAAAGTTTCTGGAGCTGCAACGAAAAATTTACTAGATGAGCTTCATAGCTGTTCAGGCAACGGAGGAGAAAACAATAGTGACTTTTAAGAGTTACAGATAGAAAAGGGATGCAAAAATGCAACAGTTTCTAAGTGACTAGTGGGATGGGTTAAGGGGTTGAACACGCCTGTAATTGGAGTCTCTGAAGATAGGAGAAAGAGACACACAAAAATAGATAACTTATGCCAAAGAGTTTCCAAATTTGATTTAAAAAACTACAAATTGAGATGTCCAAGAAGTTCAAGAAACCTTAAGTAGAATAAACATCATTTATATTTCAAGTCAATTTTTAAGAAACAGTGTTTTTTTGTTTTTTTTTTTTTAAAAAAAAGCTGCAAAACAGCCAAAGGGAGGGAAAAAAAGACACTAGAGCATAGGAACTAGTATAAAAAATTGGCCTTGACTTCTCAATCATGAATGTGAAATGCTATCCTATGAAAACCTTCTCCTACTGAAGATGGGGGGCGAAGACATTTTCTTTTTGTTGCATGTCATACAAGTTCAGACAAGTGTGTGAACTCATCCTAGAAAAAGTGCCACACACCTCATTGCTCGATATCAACTACAGTTATCAGATGAGCAAGGGGAGTACTTTGAAGGTGACCATAAAGATAGTCAGCAATGACCTATGTAGCACATTTTCTAGATTGAGTTCATGAACTTAAGTTAAGACTTCATACAATGATAGCTTTTACAGGCTTTCCAGCAAAAAAGTTCAAAAGTTGCCCTGAAGGGTGCGCTAGGGGCTGGCCCCAGCGCTTGGCTTCCCAAGGGAGAGTGCCCTGAAGGTGACCACTGTGATATTTAGCACTGAGGTACGTAGCACTTTTTCCTGGATGAGTTTGTGAACTTAATCATCTGACCGCATGTATTTGAAATTAAGAGAATAACAGATTTTAAGTATTCTCACCACAAAACCTTAATCAATATGTGAGATAATAAATACAGAAAAGAGCCTGATTTACCCATTTCACAGTGTATACCCAAAAGAAGGATTTTCAGAAAATTAGAAGCTGAGCAAATTTCTGGTCAGCAGGTCTTCTCTACAGAAAATGTTGAAGAAAGGTCTTTATACTAAAGGAAAATAATAACAGATGGAAACTCAGACCTACACAAAGCAGTAGAGAGAGCTGGAAAAGGTCAGAGTTGGGGTCAGTAACAAAGACTACCATTTACTGTTTAAAATATTTAAAAGATAATTGTGCCAAAAAGAATGCTCTTTAGCCGAAGTCACTTTTTAATATCCACCTTTTTCTTACATTCTGGCTCCAGCTCCCATCTATCCACATAGACAGAGAGTAGACTTGTACTTCTCTTTCCAAATTTGTTTAAGAACTTTACACAGTTGTTTCCATGTGTAAACATTTTCACAGTTTTTTTCTCCACAGTCCATCAGCTGGTGGACAGCACACCTTAAACACAATTTCAGTAGATCTGATGAACAATGGTGTAGTAAGTTTTGTCTCTCACACCTCTGATTATCATCGTTCACTTATAGTTTGGGGACTGGATGACACCCCTGCTCCTCTGATTTTCCCTTGCCCTCATTTACCTTTACCATATAAAACCTCATGTAAACATAGGGGATATACCAATGCTAGGAAACATGGGGGGGAGAGGAATCCGCACTGTCCACATCCAGTTCTAGCCATAAAAGTCCATCACATATAATATTTTTAACAATTTTCAGCGAGGAGGCCAAAATGTGCTCAAAGTCAGCTACAGAATCAGGCGGTATAAATACGTACTAAACATCCTTTAATTTCAGATCAGTGAATGTTTTGAGCTCCTACATGCAATCTCTGACATCTGTTGTCTCGGTAAATCAATAATTCAAAAAGACTTAAAGTAAAATAAATTTTCCTTTGGATTTGTATCACCTGGCTTTTAATTCGTACCATTTTAGATTAATTAAAACCTTCACTATTGAAGATCAAGGCTCGGGCAAAGATTAAAGCTCATACTCCTGGTGATCAAAGGCTCTGAGAATTCCAGATCTCCCACTGATCTCTCTCTGGGACTTTGTAAGAATAAATCACTCAATAGCCATGATTCTTAATTTATTTTTCTATAAAATGTGATGTATTTGCTAGATCAGTGTTTCTTATACGTTTAGATTTAGTAAAATTGGGGAAGAAGTGTGGGCTAACCCAAGTGGGAGTTGTCAACATTTCTTTTTGAGTAAGTACACCAAATAAATGTTCAAACCGCCACCTCTAGTTAAAACCTTTCATTTAAAAAATATTTTTTAAGAACAAAAGTAGCAGGAAGGCAAATTCAAAATAGCACAGTTTTTTTATATTAAAGCAAGCAAACATAGATTTAAGCAACAATGCTTTCCATATTATTTTATACTCCATTTTGTATCAGACTGATAAAAATGTCAAAAAGATCTAAAGTTGTTCTATGGACCTGTGGTTGAAAGTTATTGACTAAATGCCCTTTCAACTATAAAACTCTGATCTATAGTCTTATTTTTATATAATATGTTAATCAAATGTGATTAATATTCCTAGCATTCTCAATTAAGTGTGATTTGCCTCAATCATAAGAAAAAATACTTTTTGAAGAACAGGAAAAATACCTCCTAATGTTTGGCATAATAATTTGCCACAGCATGTCTTAACACACACGCCACACATTAAAAACACTTTTTAAAAAGTTCCTGTGGGAAATGACAGTGTCACTTCAGACTATTAAAGCATCATTCTGGTTGCAGAAACTCGAAAGGGAAGTTGCACTGTTGTAATACTAGTCTTTATCTTGGAGAACAAGGGTCATTTTGCAAATTTGTAGTATCATTTCCTTAAACAAGTCAGGACCGCACTGTATTTCAGTTCCCCAGTTCCACATTTTTACAGAGGCAGAAGCACAGCTTTTGACTTTTGTTTTGTAAGCATTGCGGGAAGAGTTGAGATCACTTTTTATTCTACCATGTATAACTTTAGAATAGTACGAAGAAGTGAATTATAAAAGGATGTAATACATTAGACATCTCTTCATTTTGGAGCGAGAAGATGGAAACATCACTGGTTTTCCTTTCTCAGTTAAACATGTGTGAATCGAGAGAAAAAACTTTTTTCAAGTTAATACATAGTTCAGGGAAAGAAGAGGCAAGCAAAGAAGCCAAAATCAGGTAAAGTTAAACAATTTGGTGTCGGCTTGGAACTTCTACAAACAGGATTGAGTTTGACTACTGGTTAACAGTTATTTTTTTAAGTATTGCATTGAAAATATATTTATTATACTGTTGCAATTGAAAAAAATGTCTTTTTATTTATTAGGAGTAGGTAACTGTTATATTTAAAGCGTTCTTATTAAAAGAAAATGTAACAATTACAGTCACTAAAAAGAACTAGTAAAATCTTTGCTAAAATATACTCTCAAATGCAAGACTTTCATTGAGGAAGATGAGAAACGTATTTCACATATGCCGTCCTAATTCTTTGACAAATATATTATTTAAATGGGATTTATGCATGTAACGTATGTGTTTGTATGTGTGTTAGGGGGTGTTTACCAAAGCCAACCTTGTCTCATGGTCAGCAGGAGAGATTTTAAGGGTCATCTGAATTGTCCTGAAGCTAATGCCTTTTCATCATAGAGCAAAAGAAAAAAGAAATAGGCTAAGTCTTCTTGTGCAGAAACTTGAGTTTCATGAAGAGACCCACTCCGGTAGATCTGGGAAATTCGCCAAAGAAACAAGGTGAATAACTTTTCATTACTTTGGAGGAGATTTTACTGATTCTGTCATTAAAGATTTAAGGAAAAGGAAATTAGGAATTTCTGTATTTTATTGGAAATTACGCAGTAATATAAAGAACGTTTTAAGAAACTAGAAATATTTCATAAAATTAAACCACCTTGAGAGTTAGAATTAAATAATCATATGAACACTTGGAAGTGTGCCATTAAAATTTTATACCTGTCAATTTTAAATGATATATTTTACTCCTCGTAACCTGATAAAATACTCATTAATATAAGAGTTTTCACAGTGCAATGTTGTCATAGTCAAGAGCTGTTCATCTCTTTCCTCAGTAGTGTGAAAAAGGCCCAAGGTACCGCATCAAGTTAAGCACAAATAGGAGATATTTTGTAATTTTTATCATTTCTAGAATTCCAAAGGAACCGGAATAGCTTTTTATACTAATTTAATACACATTCTTCCCAATTCGAATATGACCAGTGAAAGATCCAAGAAAAAATATTCAACTTTCTACCTTATCAACATGTCTAAAATATTTCTTATATGAAAAATGTCTTGTATTTCTAATCCCTTTGAAACTTCATTAGTCAAACTTCCTGTATCTGTTTAAAAAAAAAAAAAATTGCAGCATGCTGTGGTTAGTGCTTCAAGGAAATTGCAATAAAAAGAATTTTTTTGGACTGCAAGTTACTGTCACTTTAGGTTCTTCTATTTGCTGACTTTAAAAAGATAGTTGACCTGATTTCTTTATATTTTTAGTGATGTTTAATCTAAAAAATGATGAATGTTTATTCAAAAATAAAACAAATGACGCACTCATAAGAAAATGATGCTATTTTAACATAGCATTCAATAGGCAAAAATCCCTAACAAAATTAAAGAATGGTTTTGAAATTTCTAACAGAACTATAACTTCCATTGTATAATAATCAAAGCAGAAACCCTTTAAAATAGAATTAAAAAGAGCAAGAATCCAGCATGTGTGAGAGCAGATTAATAAACAGACTTTCTGTATACTCTAGTATAAGATATTTTGTTTCTTGAACAGAGTCTCCCCTGAAGAAGCAGTGAGATGGGGTGAATCATTTGACAATCTGCTTTCCCATAGAGGTTAGTGGTATTTTCGCCAAACACTTTATCCCTTAATGGAAAACTACACGAGCTATGTCTGTAATTATGCAAAACAAGCTGTCATAAAAATTTTGTCTGATTGATACTTTCTGGTAATTTGGATTTTTGATTGACAGAAGACAGTAAACAATAGAATGCTCAACTAATGGCAAACATTTTTAAATATGTTTCATTTTGTTAAGACGGACTCATTATGGATGAAAGAGTAACTATTTCTTTATACCCAAGTTAACAGTTTCAAATTAAGTTTTTCTGAGTTTTTAATAAGACCCTCGGTTTTATTAAATCCACAATTAACTATATTATTATCATTGTTTAGGGATTAAAAATTTAAAGTGTTTTTTTTTTTTTTTTTTGGCTTGGATATCCAGAAAACCCTCATGAAAATAATTTTTAAAAATTATAAATTCCTCACTCTGTGACTTTCTATCAATCTACTATTTTTAAAACAGAACCTTATAGAAAAGTTGAAAATTGGCTCAGTACCTGTGGCTCAAGTGGCTAAGGCGCCAGCCACATACATACACCTAAGGTGGCGGGTTCGAATCCAGCCTGGGCCCACCAAACAACAATGACGGCTGCAACCAAAAAAACAGCTGGTCATTGTGACCGGTGCCTGTGGTCCCAGCTACTTGGGAGGCTGAGGCAGGTGACTTGCTTGAGCCTAGGAGTTGGAGGTTGCTGTGAGCTGTGATGCCAGGGCACTCTACCCAGGGGGAGAGGCTTGAGGCTCTGTCTCAAAAAAAAAGAAAAAAGAAAAGTTGAAAATTGATGTTTCTGAGATGGAGGGTAAGGACAGGTATTGACTCAGCAACACTACTATAAAACATGGGGGAGAAGGCTGGCTGCCTGGACTGCTACTATTTAGGGTTGATTTATGTAAGGTAGCAGGGAACTGCCTCTTTATTCAGTCCATGATTCCTTTCAGATAGCAAAATGGACCAGTTGGACCGTGTAGGTGATGAGGCTGGGCAACCAAAGGGTTATTTTCTACACTGGACCTGGTCAGAGTCGGCTGGAAAATGCAATATCACCATTACCAAACGTGCACATATTTCCTCAAGCCCACAGCTTTTATTTGCACTTCGAATTTTTTCTGTACTTTACCTTAGTCTTTGTCTAAAAGATGCACACATCCTAGCGCTTTCCCAGAACACTCTTAGGTGGAATTAGCCCCATTAGCCCCACCATTCTCCTTATTGTTTATAGCACGCCAGTGGGTTTCTCATTCGAAGGGTCTCTATTGGAAGAAGGGATTCCTGTAGGGAAGGCAGCTGCATATGGAGTATCTGTAATTCGCTCTCAAATATTTCGACTGAGATAGCAGCAGATTTTCTTGTCTGGCCTCACCTTCAGTTTTCTCTCGCCTCCCTAATTGTTTAAGCTTTCTACAAGGTCTTGATGACCTGCGCGTGAGTCCCTGAATTTGCTGACATAAGAATTCTGTTTCCTCGGATTCTCCCTGAACACTTTCTCTCTTCTGGTGAAAATAGATGTCTGCTTCTTAATTGTAATATTGACTCATAGAAAGAAAATGTAAGTGAAGAAATCAAGGCTTCAATTTAAACAAAGATGTGATCAATGAGAATGAAGAGTGGTAAGAAAGTTGATGCTGACCAAAATATAACTTGTCACTTCTTTCTCCTTATGTTCCCTTTATCCTGCTATCCCTCTCTATTTTGGGATCACTCTCTCTGTTGTACAGAGTTTTCCTCATTTCCAGTATCCAATAATTTATTAACTATTGTTAAAATTCTTTCCAAAAATATGTCAAAGGTATCCTGCCCTCACTGTCTTACTACACTCTCTGTCTTGGTTCAGGTCATATCTGTATTTAACAGATTAATTACAACAATGGGTGTAAAACTTTCCTCCATAGTTTGTATTCCCCAATTGTTTTAATTTCTTCTCACATCCAACATTTCGATACATCACTACCCTTTAGTCTCTTCTCCAGGCAGAGCAAGGAAAAAAAGACAAAGAAGTGGAATTCATTTTTATGCAATTTAACTATTTATTAGAAAGAACAAGATGTCTTCTGTGGATTCCCAAACCTGGCATGTCACCTTAAAAATATTAAATGCTTATTCTTCTTAGTAAAGTATCACAAGGATGGAGGAGAAAGAATCCAATATACTCAATACTAACATGAAGTCAGTAGACGATCTAATACATGCCCACATTAGAGCATCATAACAGAAAAACTCAAATCTAGTCAAGGTGGGAGATGATGGAGCAGGGAGGGGGAGGAGGATGGGTGTGCTCCCACTTACTGGGCACAACATTGGCATATATGGCACACCTTTTGGGAGCAGGACACAATTAGAAGAGGGACTATACCTAACAAATGCAAACACTGTACTCTCAAGTTAACCTGAAATAATAAAAAAGTATTAAATGCTCAAATCATAGAATGCAATTTGTTGCTAGGAAGAAGCTAGAACAGAGAAGATTTGAGATTGGTTTTCTCCTGCAACATAAATGGCTGTGCAATCTTAGTTAATCTCCCAAATCAGTCTTTCACTCTCTTCAATGGGTGGAGATGATGCTTTAGCTCCAATAGAAATAGATTTCTGTCAGGATTATATGACATACCAATAAATCTTAGACACTGCACAAATGTCAATAATTACTGGTATTATGAAAAATAATAATTACCAAGTTTAATAATATTTTTCTGTTTTTAGTCTACTCCCAACTGGGTAGCCATCAGTTAGAGGGCTAAAATTTCAATTGATAGTAGATTGGATGTATTTCTTTAACTTAATAAGTCAGCATATCATAATTTCATTAACTCTCATGACCCATTCAAAGTGAAGAAAGGCTGGGCTGGTAAATTAGTTCTACAGAAAATCCTCACCCCCAGAATTCTGTGTTCATTCTCTAGCATTAGTCCAGATCAAGTGGACCAACTTACTTCTGCTGCTGCCTCTTTTCTCTGTTGACAGAAATATTCACAAGCTGTCAACTGTCAGCAATTTAAATCAAGAGGAGGTAACGTGAATAAAAGACAAGTAGCACGGGTCCATTTGGACATGTTTATCACCTTACATGATCTAAGTGCTAAGTAGATTGTTCTGAATTCATAAAAAAAATCTGATTAATATTAATTTAATCGATTAAAAAACATTGAATATTTGTAATTACAATGCCTATTGTAATATTAAATTACAAACATTTTAAAATCATAAACCTTAAAATAATGGCCTAAAAGAAGTCTCTTGGCTTCAGTGGTTAAATTCGGCTCATTTCTGTCAATTTCACTCCAGGGAAATACATATATATACAGATATATATATATA